TTCAGTGGGATGAATTCCACCCACTGAGGAACCAAGGCAATAAAAAGTCCCTCTCCTTCCTTTCACCCTTTATGGAAAGCCCAGCCAGAGCTACAAATCTTGTGCCCGGACTCAGCCAAACTTCCACATCATGCCCTCTTACCACCTGAATAAGCATCTTGTAAACTGCCGAGCATCGATTTTCCTCTCAAGGTGCCTCTCCTTCTCCTGTGAGCAGGAGCAAAGTGGGGATTGAGAACAGCATCACTTGCTTCAAACTCTGCCTCTCCAAAAACATGCTAAATTTTTTAATTTATTAGCTAAAAATAATAATTAAAACCCCCTAATAGTATGGGTTAAATTAAGTAGAACTTTCAATGGAATTACTGTTACAAAAGCTCAATGTTCCTAGTCCCTGAGGTCAACATTTTCCAGACTGGTAGTTATCTTTAAGAAACAGCTATCTCCCTTGAGCTGGAAACAGTTTCTCAGTGACCTTTACTTTTAATATGATATCCCTAAAGAGGTCTTAGCAGGAGAAGCCCTCCTTCAGTATGGCTTTGCTGGAACGAAGCCACCAAAGAGTCAGAGGATATAAAGGATCCTTGGGCCAATGCGAAAGTATAGAGCTTCTGTGCAGATGGTCCTGGCTTCCAACTGGTCCCTCCAGATCCACTGAGCCAATCCAACAATTAGAGGAAAATATTCAGAAAGCAGAACCTCGCAGAGTTTCTCTCACCCATCTGCTCCTACAGACTTTGCAACAGGAGGAAATCTGGCTTGGGTAACAGAAGAAGGGTGAAATGGATTGAAAAGGGCTCAGAAAGGGCCAGAAGTTCAACCCAAAATGCAACCAAACTGTGAGAGAGTTTGGAAAGGACTGGAAAAAACCCCATACATTGGGAAAATATAAAAAGTCCCATCTGTAGAGGGTTTAGGGATCTGAAAGCCAAAGCAAGAAAAGCCAAAAGCATGGTTCCTTCTTCCGCATGACTTCAGAAAGGAAAATACACTGTCTGTTCAATTAAGAGAATACCTTTGTGTCTTTTATGAGTAATGTACACGTTGATGTGTCCTGAATGGTCACACATAGAGAAAGATTTCTGATGAGGGAATATTTATTCCTGCCAAAACATTTTACATTAATGGACAACAGAAAATCTTCATAGAACATGTATTTTTCAACATTTCAATTTTCTACAGTTGCCCTATGTAATATAAAATTTCCCTGTTTATATTGCCTGTCTAGTACTTTCCAGGTTCTTAAACAGGCAGGTTGGCTTAAATAACTGCAGCTTTTAGGGTCTGATCCAGCACCAGCCAAATTCAATGCAAACATTCAAGCCACATCAATCTCCTTTGAACTAAGCTTTCCGTGCAATTCGTATATATTTGATGGAGGAATCTTTTTTTGCTTGAAAGGTTGCTAGTGCTCAATGTAGCTTGCACTGTCTTTTTAAAGTAAGACAATCAAATCACATAATGTAATTCATCTACATTATTAGCCTTCCCCAAAGACAAAGCACAGGCTAGACGCTGAGGCTTGAGAGGTATGTCAGAGAAAACACTGCCTTTAAATTAGCATTAACAGATATCGCAGGAGGGGAGGAAAAGTGAGGAAGTGCTCGCTATAAAATACACACTTGACAATGGTACGTGGTTGTATGTTTTACAAAGACAGTGAAACAGTTTGGGAAGGTAGGGTTAGCTCCTGTGATCAAGACCAGGGGATTACTGTACTACCGAAGGCAGCACTGACTCCTGAAATAAAACAATTTCAAATAAAACTCATTTTTTAATAGAAATGAGAAAACCTAAACTGGGGAACCAAGTGTGGAACCTTAAAGCTTGGAAATCTAGATGGCAAACCATTACTTTTTGTCTCTCAAATTGTAATATCTCACAAATTTTAGTCAAACCAGTTTCATGACTTCACGCACAGTTTGTGAACACTGGGCAAAGGCAATACGGCATATACAGTGGGCTGCTACAGCAAGGGCAGCATTCACTTCTGGAGCTGGAGCTTGGTGTGTTTAATGTCTGTATGTTAGTGAGTTCTTGAGAAAAAACCCCATTATTCTTTGGATTGGATCCCTAGCTCCCAAACAAACAAACGAACAAACAAACTCCAATTCCCTTCAACTGGAAACGCCTAAAACCCCACTCCTTTCAAAAAACCAAATTCAACCAGACTTGAGGCATGATATTAGGGACAGGGAATTTAAAACTTCACGCTGAAGATCAGTGTCTTTGTTCTGCTATGAAAGCAAATCACTTTACTTTAAGAAATAATATCACTGAGGACTGCACAGCAAATATTTCTTCACATGTGCGGCCGGGTGTGTGCTATGTCCCTTCTGCTCAGTACAGGGACAACATGGCCTTTAGCAGTACAGATAAATATTTGTGGATCTAAAGGTCCCTAATTTTGGACAAGGGGGTAGCTGTATTAGAAATCCTAATTTAGCAAACCGTGACTTCGTCGAGACTTAAGCACAAAAGAGGTGCTAGAGCCCTGACATGTAAGTAAGAGTGCGATTTCAATGGCCCACGTGGCTTTTGATCAAACTTTCAGTGCCTGAATTCAGTGGTAAGCACACCCATTGACTTCAAAGAGAAAGGTTGGACCCCTCAAACTCAAAGTTCAAAGAACTTGTAAGCTGCAATGATGGATCTTCTTTAGCACTTTACTCAATTCTGTCTAGATTTTATTCCTCACCTTGAAATACTTTATTAATAGACAAGCTATATGCAATATGGAAATACATATTCGATTCATTTTTGTAAAATGAACATATATATCTTAAGTTAAAAAACTCTGGGCATTTACAAACATTCAAGGATGGCTTTGGCCGGTAATGCAAATCCTTGCTGCAGACACAGGAGTATTTTCTATTCCTTTCACAAAACGTAATGAACAAATCTTTAATAGCAGATACACAGCATAACATAGTACCACATGATTGCTGAGGACAGCACATGAACTCTCAGTCCTAATGAGGAAATAGCAGCTAGTGTTTGGCACTTTCATGTAAAGCTGCAGCTTGGAGAGAAATTTAATATCACTAATTTGACCTTGAACATGAAGGTTTAAGACTTAGATGTTTTGGGGAAAGAAAGGAGTAAACTTCAAGCTGTTTTGACAACATGTATATAAGGTAAAAAATACGTATTTTCTAGTAGAGGCAGTCGGTCATTAAAGTATCCCATAGATGAGAGCACCAGCAATCTAATCTTTAGATGAGAAGGCATATCACTCAAGTAACAATGACGTGCCACTACGACTTCTTGAGATGATTTTCTACTAGAATCAAGACCATACGTTTTTCAGAGAATAAATCACACCCCGGATTGAGAGCCCTTCCTGAAATTACTTGACTAAAATTCTTAGTTTCAACACAGTTCTTGGAGACAAAGCTGAATCTACACTAACAGTGAGAAACAGGCAACAGAAAACTTCTATAGTGTACATAATACAATGGATATCACATTATTTTTCCTCGGTGTCTCAATTCTTTCATTTTGTAGAACTAACCAAATATGAAAACATTAAACACAATCTCTGAGCTCAAAGCCACTTCCAAAACTGCCAAGTATAA